GTGTTAATGGATACTCAAGAGCTGACTATTAAAAACGTTAAGTCAAGTTAACTCTAGAGTTTTAACATCATTCATTGCCAAGTTGGAATTTTATCTTGAAAAATACCTTTTTAATGGTTTTATCGCCATAGTTTTGCGTCAATCCTGCTTGTTGTTGGGTGTTCTTTAACTATTGAATACACACTAAGCCTAAGAAAGTAACAATTGTTTTTAACGTATTTAAGGGGGAAAATATTGAAAACCTTATTTCAGCATCGTAGAAATTGTTGTATGATTTGATATAAGCAACTCAAAGTATCATAAAATAGGATGTTTGAACATTTAACTCCCAGTGTTAAGAAAGAAAATTTGATTAATTTAACTGGATTGAATATTCAAAAAGTAGGCCCTGTGTACTAAAATCTATTTTGTTCTTCTACTTGTTTCCAGTGGCAAGCGAACTTTCCGTCGCTTCCAACCACCACCAGGAGATTTCAACAATGTCGATCTTGTTTACGCTTGGCTTAACATGAAAAACGCCGATTATTTGAAAGAACCGATTAATGTAGTGAAAACTCCGTATTAAAGAAGGTAACCATCGAATATATGTTTACGTATTAAAGTTCTACACTGATATGCAGAAGTAGAACAGCAGGTCTTCTGTAGAATAAACTATAGACGTAATCGTTGTCTTATATATCCATTCTTCCAAATTCAAGTTAACATTTCAGCTAATGTGAAACAGCGTATGCATCATGAAGATTAGGTTAAACATAATTATATGTTATGAACTTAATAGGTAAAAAAAAAAAATCTTGGTAGCAAACTTTATGTAAGATTAAACACGCCCTTGACGGCTAGACCACAACAGTTGTTTGTAATACATTACTATTCTCGCTTTCGATTTAATTTTGCGCCCTCTATTTACAGCAATGAAATACTTAGAATCTCTATTTTCGGTAAGTGGTTTCGGAGTTATATAGCAAGCACTATTTGTTACTGTGGGTATAAATACCACGTTTTTATAAGACCGACCATATCACTGTATTATTTAATTGGGTAATAATTAATATATATACTAATACTAATTAGTAAAGTAAAAAACTGGCTATAAAGTCAAACTGGACAAAGAAGCCAAGTTATCGTATTTTCAACATCAAATATTTCTGGCCAGTTTAAATAAAATTAATAATTTTATACCTAGTTCGCAAAGATAACCGAACTACCTGCGATTGTAAGCAAAATGGTTAAAGTAATCTTATAATAAATGCATTCTTCTTTCAATCTATAAGTCTTAAAAACTAACTGGTAATTCGTAATTTAAATAAGCTGGAAATATGTTTCACAAATAATTTCACATTTTACCGAGACATGAAATTTAATACTCTATAGAAATAAGTTTTAAATTACCGTGTTCGACAAAACAAACAAACAAAAAGCATTGCGTTATAGCTCCTATAGCGTGTATTTTAACTAGTTTTTTCATTATTTTTAATTCTTAAAAAACATTCTGCATCGTGTGATAATTTAAAAACAGCGGTAATTAAATCTTTGGGTTATGTTGCTGAATTATCATACTAATACAAAAGAATGGCTTGAAATAAAATAATATATTATTTTATGCAAACTTGTGATGCTCAAATCTATATCCGTACATCCAAAAATAACAACAGCTTATTTATTTTCAGGCCAACAAAACCTCAGTTTAAACACACATACACACACACAAAAAAAAGAAGTTTGGATATGATGTCCAACATGACCCAGAAACTTTATTTCTTCTTTATTGATGTCATTTGTTATTCTAGACGAGCCAATTACCAGGTTAATGTAGCACTTGTACAGATAATAAATGTGTTCTACCGATGTCAACGTTTGCGAGTCATTACTAAACTTCGGTCCATCCGTTTACGTTATTTTCCACGCAAGTCAACGAGTTGAATCAGTAACTGAAAATATTAAGTTTATATTACTTTCCAAAGTTGATATCTCAGTTTATACCCAGAATCGTTTGTTGAAATTATACGATATTTATATTAAAAAAAATCAAAGTAACTGTCACAAATACCAAGTTTTAAAAGTTGCTCACATTCACAAAACTTTCCGTAAAATCCGTTAATGGTTGTCGTATTTTGTGAAACTATCTACAAGACAATACGTCTTTTAACGAGCCCCCTCATCCCTAATTGGTGAGTTTTCACGTGTTGCTTAAAGCACGCCATTACAATGTATTAATAATCATTGTTCAAGATATTACACAGAAAAATTATATAATTTTTCCAGTTCCTGTTAAAAACAAGTTAACACAATTTCAATGTTCGTTAGGGTCACCCAGTATATCCTGTAACTTTGCAAGTAGTACGAGTACACGTGCAGAAAGAAAGTGCACACCCACTAAAAGAATATGAAAAACCATGATGTAATTTTCAGATATTTTTATTATACAATATTTACAGTTAAGATTACCAACACAATAACGATTCGTACGTTTTTTTTTTCTTTTCCTTTAAAGATTTAGTTGTGAATAACACACTAAATATTTGTGCTTCTGGTGTCTCTACATAACCTACGACCTGAATTTTACAATTAGTGATATTCTAGTAAATGTGATTTATAGACATCTCTCCGTGCAAGTAGATTAGACTACAATATTAACTGAACAACGATAGAGGGTGTTAGTTACTTAATATCTTTGAGAATATACTTTTTTTTTCTAAGGTTATTCAATGGTATCGTGAAATATTAAATAAAATATGGTCAACTAGTACTACGAGACTGCAATAAATAAACTATAAATAATCAATAGTTTAATTTCAGTTTAATCAAACCTATTCTAAGTTAATGTAAAAAGACACAAAACTAACATGGCGGCAAACTGGGAATCAGTAAAACGAGACCCTTCACCTATTTAATTCTAATAACTTGGGTTTTTCCAGTTAATAGTTGATGTAAATATTTTCATACAATTGACTATTATTTGCGTTCTGTCCACCACGAGCCAATCGAACTCCGGGCGTTGTAAGTACGTAAACTTACCGTGAAGAAAACAAAACAGAAAAAAGCAGCCTCGCGCACACAAACCAGCAAGATAGCCGATTTCTTGTCCAGTGCGCTTCAAAAAAGTATAACAAAATTTACACAATTCTTTTTATAACATTCAAAACTGTACTCCAACAGAGTAATTTACCTTATCAACCACAACTATGGCCTTCTTTTCGGTAACTTTTGGAATTTCCGAGTAAGAAAAATGTAACTAATTTGGTTATAAAAAAGGGAAGAAAAAGGTAAACATATAACATACAACTGTTATATAGGCTAACAGAATCTCCTAAACTGTATAGTTTTAAAAATCGTTGACAAAAATACTGAATCATATATCTAATTCTTTAAAGATTTGAACATGAAAACACCAATTACTGCATTAGAAACGCGTCTTACGGCTAGCACTATTCATCGAGACAATATAAACATGTTAAACTACTTAGCCTTACAAAGACACGTGTTTCGGGATAATGCACTACAACGTTCTAACTGCTCATTCTTCAACCACATTTTGTCCAAAAAAAAACCCTAGGTTAAACACTTTAATACTTGAAATAAACATCAAAACCAAATCTCAAGTGATTCCTGTTTAAAAAGGTGTTTTTAGTGACATCTGTAAACACCTATCAGACAGGAGACAATAATTTCGTCCCATATTCTTAACTATTTTTACTAGGTCTTCCGAAGGTCACACACTTTTTTTAACTGTTGCATAATTTTAACAATGCATGTATTATATCACAGAGGTGACCAGTTAACACCACATTTTATGTACATAGTAGTTGAATTCAAATAGAGATCTAAACACTATTACTGTAACTTGGTATTCAAAACAAAATTCCGTAGACATTTTACTTAAACAATTAAATGTGGAAAGTAAAAAAAAAAGAACTTAACAAGTAATAAACCTAAGTAAAAGTTATAAACTCCATCATGGTTTTACTCCAGATTTTTCAACTTAAATTTGGAAGAAAACATTCACTACTGACCATCCCCGTGAAGCCTATTTTAAAACATACTAATAAATGGAACGTCTTACACAGTTTATTATCAAAATAATTAACAATGCTCTTGATTACTGACAGTGAAAATCAACAAGATACTGCAAACTTCATACATCTTCTAACTACAACACTAATTATTTCACAACCTTTAAACAAATTAAACGGAATATCCTAAGCCTAAAGAAAAAATAATGGAATAATGTGCTGAAACTAAACAAGCTGACTAGACTAACTTGGTGTTAAAATCTATTATCAGTGAAAGGCTAGATATTCCTACCATTAGCTCCATGCATTGATTACCTTTAAACAATACAAAGCTTGAATGAAACAACTTCAAAATTCAGTTAGCAAACATTAAACATCTCTTCAGTTCATCTTCTGGTGGAAAAAAAACAAATCACTATCCAGTAAGCACTTATAACAGAATGATGAAGCACACCGAGGGCAATAAAGAGTTGGAAAATATTTCTAGTTTACTTTCATAGTTACTTTGAGCATTTTTTGTAAGGAACAGTTTTCTATGTTACTCTGTAGCCAGTTAGTTCACCAATTGAGTTAACTTTTCGGAGACTAAGTATACAATGTTACAATCAACTTTTCTGTCCAAAAATGAATCAAGAAACTGTGCTACACTTTCATTTCAAACAACAACAAAGTTTCTATGTGTGTGTTGCATTCACAACACTATCCAAGTCTATTTTAAAATGAAACAATGAATTCCCATCACACTGCATACCAGAAGATTACAAACTTTCATAATTATACATAAAAAAATCCATATACAAACAATGCAGTGGCAAAGAAAGACAACCCAGAAATTACGTGTCGAGTTTATTTTCATATCGAAGCAGAATGTATCACACTGTATTGCAATTCAAATGCCTTATAAACCAAGAAATGCTGTGTTTGTTTAGTCATCACAAAGAAATACACAATATAACAACTAAATGATGCAAGAACATACAAGATCCAGCAAACATTTAGTAAAGATAACTCCTGTGAATATCTGATACGGTTAGCACTAATGTCACTGAACAACTCCTGTATTAGGTGCTACTACTGTAGGCTATTATTTAGAGTTGCAGAAATGCACTGTTAAAAATATCATTTATCCGATGAAAGAATGGCTTAATAGTACAATAGAAGTAAAGGTGAAGAGTTTATAATTTTTTTTTTTTTCTAAGACAAAGGAGAAATCAAAATTAACTGTGAAACTAAAAGGTTTCATTTTCGGTGAGACAAATTTGACTTTTATCAAAAACAAACAAAATTACATTAATTAAGACATTTTGAAACAAAACGAAGACACTTTTAAATTTGAAAAGAAACTGTAGAGAATTAAATTTTGATGGAGAAGAAACGTTTGTTTGGATTACAAAGGAAAACATCAGAATTACACCAAAGTGACAAAAAATACAATTATGTGTATGGTTTTCTACTTAGCTATACCACCATGCACCCCCACTTTGTGTTGTAAATTTGGTTTCTTTCCTGGTGATAAAATATAATCAGTTAGTCTTTGGTGTTATTAATAACTTTCTGTTTCTTATATCCTACTAAAACTACTCTTGAGAGGGTGCATTTTCAAATTTCACCAAACCTAAACTTCAAATAAATAAAACACACGGAACTCTAATAATTTAACTACAAAGTCTGGCACAAAATCTTTACAAAACGTAGATAGAGATGACCATTTTCAAACAGTCCATTGCTTTAGTCCACTAATAATCTATTCCTGGATGACACATTTTAGTGCTTCTGTGGTGGTGACTCAAAGTGATACCAAGAACCAAATTTTAGTCTCAATTACAGCAACTCTAATTTTTTCTTATTTTTAACTCTTTTTCGTTCCTTTTCCTCGCTGAGTCAGACCTTCAAACCTCTTGAAAGTATAGTTAATGAACACCCAATCTTTGTATCCAGACTGCTCATCTGTGGTTGTAGGTGGCGCAGCAGCTGCACGAGGAAAAAAATTTGTTTTATCTTGTCCAATCAAATTGCAAGCAGTAAAAGCATAAAAAAAACTAAAACAGAAAATAAACTGAATAAATAGTTTTATAAAAATTTCACATTAATCCGTGCTAATTAATATTATACTTTTTTTTAGAAATGTCATAAGAAACTCAGAAACTAGAATTAACAGCAAAGGTTATGCTTAATTTAAATCACGTTACTGTATCTGTATACCATCTTCAATAATAACTTTATTGACAAACGTTCTATACCCTCAGTATTATAACTGCTCTCTAGCATTAGAATATAACGAAAACTTTATGCACAGTAAAGAAAAAAATTTTTTTCTAAACAACTGTGGAATATATCCGAACTAAATATGATATGTGAACTCCTCTTTGTGTTTATCTTTCACATTCCTTGTCATTAAAAAACTGTACAGTTTAAGCATTGCAACTTTGTTAATTACTACCTCATTTTGTAAGGATTTGCATATTCTCTAAAAGTATCAACTTTTTAAAGTTATTTAGGAAGGTGTTTCATCTACATAATCACTCTCTCAAGAACATCCTACTGGTGCCACTTTTCACTCACCCATTAAATAATATTATATGATCCATCTTGAACATCCTACTGGTGCCACTTTTAACTCACCCATTAAATAATATTATATGATCCATCTTGAACATCCTACTGGTGCCACTTTTCACTCACCCATTAAATAATATTATATGATCCATCTTGAACATCCTACTGGTGCCACTTTTAACTCACCCATTAAATAATATTATATGATCCATCTTTTTTGTTTTCCATAATTATTTGTTCAAATAAAAAATTATTAGATCTTAAAAAAAAGCCTTCTCATAGAAGTTAAGATGCTGGAAAAAATTATCAACACAGAAACAAGTACTCAAATTTAAAGTTCAGATCATAACAAAGTTAATTCATTACACGCCAATGCAGCATAACAATAAATATAACCCTTTATCAACACAAATATCATATAAAGAACACATGGAAAAAAACATTATAACGTACTGTAAATATTTAAAGATACTTGAAATGAGGTACTGGACTACCTAAATAAAATACAAATAGGTTTGAAGAAACTAAATAAGCATGCAACAGCCTATTCCAGAAGTGGACTTTTAAATAATTAATATATATTTTAGATCAAAGCAAGCTACCTATGTTTATACAGTTAAAGAACTGTCAAAACAAAAGCTTATTACGTTAAGACACAACACAAAGAAGATAATTTATATTTCAGTTAATGTTGGCCAATAGAAATGAACTATGAAACCTAAAATGCAGAACAAGAACTTATTTAGAACTGTCCAGTAAGGACAATTGGTGAACCCTAATGAAACAGTAACTCTGTGTCAGATTTCAATAGTCATTAGTAGCACTAGCCAATGTCAAATACTGAGGTTTAAATATGAATACTTGGGATACTAACCAAAAATAACCAGGATTATATATCTGAATAGTCACCATATAAGAGGGCTTTAAGTATATGCAGTTAGTCCAAAAAAATTCCAGAATAATTTCACAATATATATATGCCCCCTAACAGTTTTTAAATTGGAAAACTCACCTTCAAATCATATAAATTACTGTGCAATGTGTATTACAGATAAGATATGAAACAATGGTTTTGCTTAACCATATAACACAAAGTAATTCAAGTGGTTCAGTTAAAGCAAGTCAGCTCAAGTGACCTAATTTCTACAACCACTCAGGTGCACGATTTTACTTTTACAAAACTACAAGAGCTTGTTTACACTGCAAACACTAATTCATTTAGTCAAAGTAAAAAATAAATAAACTTAAATTAATACTATACCACGGTTACTTAACCAGATTACTTTTGAAACCCAAAAGTTCACAAATAATTTGTACTATCATACATTTAAATGGTTAGTTTATGCAACATTTCACTTAAAAAACAAAAATAGCCAATTAATTATGCACAGTTTGATTTCCTTCTTTACTGGTTCGAGTAAAATTTTATACAAAAAAAAAAGTAAGAGTCGAAACAAATACTTACGAATCTTCAAATCTACATCTGGAAATTCATCAAAATTAGAAGTGTCGTCTATACTCTTTACTTCTACAGGTATGGCAGCAGGTCTTTCTCTATAGAAGAGAGAGAGAGAGAAAAGAATTATTCAAAAAAACTAAACGACAACCTTGTGTCTTACATAGATCAATCTTACAATTACCTACTTAACTGAAATACATTTGTGTTACTATTCTTAGAAGCAAACACTATTAAATGCAATATTTGGCCTTTAGGTTTCACATGCTTGCATAAAAATTTATGGCAAAATAATATTGGCGACCACGTAATATTTCCTTTGGAAGCAGACTGTTCGTGGTCAAAAATAGGAAATAATGACATATCTGAAAAAATGTTTCCCCTTTTTTCTTAAATTTTCTCATTCATAACTTTGGCACGTGTGCAACATGATTGATACAAGAACAACTAATCAATGCGACTCATCATTCCAGAAGAGTCAAACTTTAAAGTACAATTATTTCACTTGCAGATCACTAGCAATTTTCTTTCATGATTTTAACTACAAATAAACATTAAATAAATATTTGGTTTGTTTTGTTTTGAATTTTGCGCAAAGCTACATGAGGGCTATCTGTGCTAGCCGTCC